AGAATATTTTTCCTACAACAGTGACATCCTGAAACAGATAATACAGTTTTGTCTGCCCGAGGAAGTAGTAGATGTGGATTCCTACAAGTAGAAGTTTAGCAGAGAAGATACAAACTAAGTTCCATCCCAGTCAGCATGGCTCAGTGGTTGAGCGTCAACCTGTGAACCAGGAGGTCAGGGTTTGATTCCTGGTCAGGGCACATGTCCGGGTTGCAAGCTTGATCCCAAGTGTGGGGCGTGCAGGAGGTAGCCAATCAATGACTCTTTCTCGTCATTGATGTTTCTACTTCTTCCTTCCTCTCCCTTCCTCTCTATGAAATCAATTAAAAATATTCTTAAAAAACAAAACAAAAACCTAAGTTCCAGCCATTCCACTTCTAACTCTGTGGCCTAGAAGAAATTACTTAACATTTGTAAAGTCTCAGTTTTATCTGCTGTGTAATCAAGGTAAGAAGTGTATATGACGTTGTGAGAGAGAGTTAAAGGAGATGATGCAAGTGAAGTGATTGGCCCAGCGCCGGGCACCTAGTAAATGCTTAATCAATTGTATCCTCCATTGATTTTCCACCCTTTTCATCTCATGGTTCCCATTACATTCTGGGGCACACCAACAAATTTATTTTTTGCCGATCTTACAGAGATAGCTATACTTTCTACTCATTCACTCTAGATGGCTATTGTTGCGTTGGCAGATCAATATATTGATTTTAGACTGAGAAGCTTGGGGAGTAACTTGTACATGAATCATCAAGGAGCTGGGGTGCTATCAGTCTGCCTTGCAGCGTGAGAACAGACTGTATTTACCTTCACCATCTTTTAGTGTCCGCACTAGCAAGAGGCCTGTGAGAGAAAGCTCCGTCCCAGCACATCTGAGTGTCTAATAGCGCAGCAGAATGCATCATTCATTGGAAGTGGCAGGATGGGGCTATAATCCTGTCTAGAAGTCACATTATCCAGCAGATTTTCCCACCTCTTTGTGTAAACCATTCCTTTTAAAGTATATGTTTCAGACCCAGTATGTTTATAGAACTGGCATCTCCCTGGCTTGCGCCAGAAAGTTTCCTGTCCTTATTAAGAGCGGGAACTCTCTGATGGAGGTGTTTGTCACCCTGAGTGGGGTTTGTTTACTATGACCGGGCTCTGCACGGGCCTTATCCATCCAGTTGATGGACGGCCGAGGCTGCTACTCCCCTCCCTTCCCTCCTTCTTTTGTTCCCTCCCAAAGCATTTCACTTTGTTTTTCTTATGTTTTAACTAATGCGTTCATCCATGTTAGTACTCAGAGCCATTCCTCTCTACAGGCACCTGCCCCCTCTTAAAAACGACCTTCTAGGAACTGCCAGGAAGGGTGGCCTGTCCATCAACTCACTCAATTCGTGCGGCATCTGCAGGGCAGTGTCTATGACCCTGCCTGCAGCCAGATTTGGGTTCCTGTGCTTGAATGTCAAGGCTGGACCACTGACTGGCTCCAACACCCTACTCATGGCGTCTGGTCACTCCCTGCCTATTTGTCTCAGGACTAACCATGCATCCCAGTTTCAGGCTCAAGTAAAATAATGCATATGAGTATTTTCACGAACTCTGAGGACTTTATAAATTGTTCTTTCCAAGGCGCTCTACATTTGAAAAGGCTACTGGTCAAACAAATCCCCTTTCATCAACCTACTTCTTAAATACTTAGGGAAGAGGTGAGGGGGTGGGGGTCTGGCCTCCCTTCTGGGTTTCTATTAACATCATGGGGAGGTTTCAATACACAGTCTGTTTGCTCATCAAACAAATACCTATTTGGCATCTGCTGGCCCCCGCTGTGCCCGAGTTCTGTCTCCCCAGGCCTTGCTTTCTGCTCAGCAGCAGGTAAACCGTTGGCACAAAGTGTTTCCTTCCCTGGATTCAGAGAGTTTATCATCTGTGACCGCCGATGGGAAACTCAGGCCCTCCAGTTGAGCGAGGTATTTTTGCACAGTGGGATCTCACGATTTCCTTCATGTCGCACCCGATTATGTCTTTGAAGAAAGCGTTGTGTATTTCTCTTCTGTAATCTCTCTTCCCAAACGAGTGGAAACCCCTTTACAGCCAATAAAGCGATGGTGTTACTGATGAATTATAAATAGGAAAGTGTTCATTTCTGCCAAGACACTTGAATCCGAATTGTGCAAATCTCCGTCACTATCTCCTTTTGAAGATAAGACTGGTTTTTATGTGAAGACAATGATGGCTTATCGTGTACATCTCCAGAGTTTGAAAATGTGTGTCTAAAAATAGACGGAAGTGACAAATACATCCAGGTTCTGATGTCAGGAAACTAACAATATGTTTTTAACGCATCAATCTCAAAGTACTGAGGATAAACAAGTATAATGTCAAACCGTGTTAATGTGGATATAACCTTTGTAGCCATTTGATAAATATCTACTTTTGAAATGTTAGGATAATGCATTTATTAATTCAAAAATATCCTAAGAAAAATAAACAGGACTCGGAATATTGTTACGTTTAAATGATTGAAAACCAGTTTGACTATCAGCAACCTGGAACACATCCTTCCATGTAGAATTCTTGAACAGGTAGCACTTTCACTTTAAGTTCTCTGTGATCCCGTAAAAACATTTCAGAACTCTTTCAGTCAGTGCTAAATGCAAAACAGAAAGTACTTTATCCACTTTGTCATGATAACCTCAATTTTCAGAGAAACTACTCTTCAGAAATGAGTCTACACTTGGAGGAACATGATGAATGCATTAGTAATGGGATGTGATAAAACACATTCTGCATGTGACTCACACAGACCCCAAGTCCCACCTCCTCATTTCACAGATGGGGAAACCGAGGCTTCCTGGCACCAAGGGTGTAAGGTTATCAGGTGGGTGGACAGGCACCAGTCCAATGGCTCTGTTCATAAGTCAACAGAGTTTTGTTTCACGCCCCTGCCTGGCACCTTGTTTACCCAACATGAGGCGAAGGCCCTCTGTATTTGGGTGGTAAAATCAGCACAGAAGCCAAACAATATTCTGGGCTTTTTCTGCATTGGAATACAAGGGGAGAAATAAGTAGTAAAGCAAGTTGGTCATTCTAATTCCATTATTAGTTGTATTAGTGTTTGGTCAAATTTACTAGTATTTGTTTTTTTAAAAATATATATTTTTATTGATTTCAGAGAGAAGAAGGAAGAGGGAGAGAGATAGGAACATCAATGATGAGACAGAATCATTGAACCAGCTGCCTCCTGCACGCCCCTACTGTACCCTGACTAGTAATCAAACCGTTTTGCCCTGGTTCATATGTCAAAACTCAAACACTAGCTCAACAAAATTTTTTCTCTTGCGCAGCTAATTCTCTTTCTCAGAAATGAGCCCCCAAGTATTTATTCAGTGTTAGAATAATCCTCTGCTGCAGGAGAAGAGTTCCATTTAATTTTTTTTCATGTGCTATTGCATGGGTTTCTAGGCATTTTATAATAGTCTTGCTACTGCGGTCAAATTTGTGACCGAAGAAACACATTTCATGGTGAAACTAAAAATCTTGAATCAGATTTTCCTGCAGTTAATTATTTTTGGGAAAATGACTCATTATGTTTTCTAGGTATTTTATTCGTTAATAGCATAAGCTATTTGTTCATTTGTATGAAGTATTTGTCCTGTGCTTTGTGCTGAATGTATGGAAACAGACAATCTTTCTTTACTCTGGAATCTTTTGACAAATTCCAAGCTGCTATTATAGGACAGATTAAAAAATATTTTAGTGGAAGAAAAACTTACTTGTCTTTGAAAAAACCCCACATTTATAACTTTTAAATTTATATTTGGATTTATTGATTATCAGGCCCTTGATGAATTCACATTGCGAAGAATAAAATATATGAAGTATAGGAACTAAATTTTCTACCCTTACACTAATAAAAGTGCAGAACTACAGGAAGACATTAATACATTTAAAAAAAAAATACATTTTATTGATTTTTTACAGAGAGGAAGAGAGAGGGACAGAGAGTTAGAAACATCGATGAGAGAGAATCATCGATCAGCTGCCTCCTGCACACCCTCTGCTGGGGATGTGCCCTCAATCAAGGTACATGCCCTTGTCCGGAATCAAACCTGGGACCCTTCAGTCCGCAGACCGACACTCTATCCACTGAGCCAAACCGGTTTCGGCACATTAATACATTTTTAACAGCTTTGAATTATCGGGAATTTTTCACACACAGAAGATATATGCAATATAGAAATTCAGTTAAGAGCATAATAGTAGGAAAATTTTACAGGTAAAACATTTCTCAAGAATCTATCTTTAAAAAATACTTTTTATTGCTTTTTAGAGAGAAAGGAAGAGACGGGGAGAAAAACAGAAACATCAAAGTGAAAGAGAAACATTCATTGGCTGCCTCCTGTACTCACCCTACTGGGGATTGAGCCCACAACCTGAGCATGTGCCCTAACCAGGAATTGAACCAGCAACTTTTTGGTGCACAGGACAATGCCCAACCAACTGAGCCACACCAGCCAGGGAAAGAACCCATCGTTTTGGTATCACTCATAGCATAACATGATTGTGCTGTGGGTCCTAAGTTTATCTATTAATTAGCATTATTAAGAGCACTCTATGGAAATGTTACATTCTACTAGAGACACAACTCAAACAGCTACAACCTTTGAAGGACTAATCTGTATATTATGACAACAAAATGCCCTTAATAAGAAAACTTCCATTGGTTGATGACCACAGTGAAAATGCTATAACATTGGCGCTGTGAAGAAAGACCATCCTTTTTCGGAGCCCTACTTGGGTGTGCCATAAATTGTATCAGTCACGTGATCAGAGTTCTACAGTCCATCCCTTGGGAGATCTGTTTCCCTTTGGGAACTAGAACTCAATTTATAGTTCCTTTCCTTGTACTTTATTCCTACTCTGTTTTTCAGTGTGTGTGTGTGTAAGTTAGAAGAACAAAGCCAATCCTTGCAATAGACCGCCTTCAGTTTAAGCTTTTGAGTGGTTGTCAGGAATTGTCATTGGGATGAATATTCATCAGAAGTTTCTGATACATCTCCGACTTGAGAAACCTTGTCACGGGGCTGAATAGTCTTCAGAAGCTTCTGATACATCTCCGACTTGAGAAACCGGGGGTACGAGTCTCTCTCCATGTGCATGTACACGATTTTCTGAGCCTCTTCAAAGCACGCCCGAGTGGGTTCTTGAATATTCCTGACTATGGTTTCTCTTGTCGAACTGTCAATGTTAATCTGAAAAGCGAAATTGCAGCAATGGGCGGGATTAAAGGCGGAAAGACAATGCAAGGGTTTGATGTATTCCCCCCTCTCCTTTTCAGTGGACTAGGGTTATTTTGTTTGCAGTTTCATTGGTATCTCAAAAGACGTAGGAGGTAAACTCTTGGCTTCTTGAAAAGTAAACATCCACCTCCACATCCCAGATCAAAATAACACGAGGCCCAAGGCCCGGGAAATCGCTGAAACCATTGCTTACTTGGGAGGGCACAAGTGGTTTGCTGGCAGAGTCTACAAACAAGGAAGTTTACTGGATGGAGGTCTTCCCTGAGGAAGAAAGGGAAGATGGTGCTATTTTAAACTTGGCCTTCCTTAACAGGCATGCATGTTGATTTAATGGACTCTGCCCCGAAATGGGAAGAAGGTGAAGAGAAGTGGGGAAATAGAGAAGTGGTCATTTCAGTAAACCCAAGTATTTTCCAGATAACAGTTTTAAGGAACAAATTCTGTCCTGGGTGAGAGGAATGTCATTTACCATCCTCCCTGCTGGTCCCCTTGATCAGAATTCTCGTTCCCCAGTGTCTCCCCACCAGGAGGAGTCTCAGTGTTGTCTGTTTCCCTCATGGCTCTGTTGTCTTCAGGCAGAGGTGCATGATGGGAAGTGATATCCATGTGAGCATTTGCTGGCTTTGCTGGAGGGAGGGGAGGAAGCAGGGGCTATGGGAGCACAGACTTTGTCCAGCACCCCCGGGGATGTCAATATGTCTATTGATGGTAACCATAGTTCCTTCTAGCAAAGCCAGTTCTTTGTAAATCACTCTCGTAGGGAATTAAAATCATTTAATAGCCGAAACTGGTTTGGCTCAGTGGATAGAGCGTCGGTCTGCGGACTGAAAGGTCCCAGGTTCGATTCTGGTCAAGGGCATGTACATTGGTTGCAGACACATCCCCGGTGGGGGGGTGTGCAGGAGGCAGCTGGTCGATGTATCTCTCTCATCAATGTTTCTAGCTCTCTATCCCTCTCCCTTCCTCTCTGTGAAAAATCAATAAAATATATTAAAAAAAAGATAAGCCCTTTGAAATATTAAAAAAATAATAATAATTTAATAAGGAGAGGCCTGGGAGCCACATTGACCTAACTTAGAATCCGGATTTCCCCACTTTCCCTCTGCATGCCACTGGGCAAGTTAGTGCCTATCTCTGACTCTCAGGATTCTTATGTGGAAAATGAGGTGAACAACCCTGACTTGACAGCATCCTTTGGGGTAAAGAGCCCGGCACCTCTTTGTGTGCCCAGTCAGCAGACACGGACACCCTGATGCCCATTCAGGGTCACCCTTGGCTAGGTACCTCTCTGGGGGACTGTGGCTGGATGTAGATCTTGTAAAGCTTCTTCGCCCGAAAATGTCTGCTCCATCGAAAGGCGATCTTCTTGTAGGTCTCACAGGCCATCCAGAATTGGATGTTCTCATCGCTGTGCTCCAGTTTCAGGAACGCCGCATAGACCACCGGCCCATCTGAAAGTAATGGAGACATCACTCATTTTCCTGCGTCAACACCATTAACACCTCTGAAAAACACACACACAATGAAATGTAAAAATAAAGTCTGGTCCAGTTGGTATGGCTCAGTGGTTGAGTGTTGACCTAGGAACCACGAGGTCACAGTTCGATTCCCAGTCAGGGCACATGCCTGGGTTGTGGGCTCGATCCCCAGTAAGGGGCGTGCAGGAGGCAGCCGATCCGTGATTCTGTCTCATCATTGATGCTTCTGTCACTCTCTCCCTCTCCTTTCCTCTCAGATATAGCAGTTGGTGCTCCTGGTAAAGAAATAGCTGAATGGACAGGCAAACCATTTCTGGTTTAACATGTGAAGCTGGAAGCCCACAACCTCCCCTGTGTATTGAAAGAAACAAGAGTTTGGTGTTAACAAACAGAAAAGCAACTTGATCTATTTTTGTACTCCGAGGAATTTTGACTGTTTCATCAGGAGGGGGAAATGAGGACCCTAAAATAAAGAAATGAGCTTTGAAAGAGGTGGGAGAAGAATGAAATACCAGATCCTGGAATGAGAGTTCACCAGCTACCGGGGTGGTTTGAGTTGGATGAGTGCACGGGGGTCGGGAGAGGGGTTTTGGAAACCAGTGATTTTGTAACCCAGATTTGTGTTTATGTCCGTGTTTAGTTTAATTGTATGGTAGAGTGTTTAGAGAGGTTCATTCCGGAACCTGCCCGCGAATTACTGGGCTGCTGATGCCGTGTGTTACCGTATGACAGCCTGGGGAAAGCTGACGCGGATAAGAACCCGTCTGATATTTCAGGTCTGATGACAGCATGTTCCACAGAATCCCGTCCTCATAGTGTGTACACGTTACCCCCGTTAGCGGCTCAAAACACAAGTATATTAAAAGTGTTCCAGAAATCTGAGTAACTCTTCAAGTCGGCACGAATGGCTCAGTCTAGCGTTTCTATTGACACACACACAAGAGTTAAAAGCTTTTTCCAAGTCCAGCCCTGGAGCTCTTTCCTTCCTTCCTTCCTTCCTTCCTTCCTTCCTTCCTTCCTTCCTTCCTTCCTTCCTTCCTTCCTTCCTTCCTCCCTCCCTCCTCCCTCCCTCCCTCCTTCCCTCCCTCCCTCCCTCCCTCCCTCCTTCCCTCCCTCCCTCTCTCCCTTCCTTCCTTCTTTTTTTTTCTTTCTTTCCTTCTTTCTTAATATATTTTACTGATTATCTACAGAGAGGAAGGGAGAGGGATAGAGAGCTAGAAACGTCAGTGAGAGAGAAACATCGACCAGCTGCCTCTTGCACACCCTGTACCAAGGATGTGCCCACAACCAATGTACATGCCCTTGACCGGAATCAAACCTGGGACCTTTCAGTCCACAGACCGAAGCTCTATCCACGGAGCCAAACCGGTTTCGGCATGCCTAACTATTATTAATTTATTTACACAGATACACACACAAGTCAAACTATTGGTATTAAATTGTGAAAGCAATTTTGTTTCACTCTTGAATATTTAATATCATGCAGCAAACACTTTCCCCCCTTTTTGTCTTAATAGTCCACCGCAACAACAGCAACAACAAAAAGACAAAAAATAATAATCCACTGCAGGGCTAAGTTCTGATACACTGATTTACTCCCTGTTATTGACTGTGTAGATTGCTTCTCCATTTTAAGTTAGATTGTTCTACATTGAGCATGTTGGTTCGTAAACCTTTGCATCTCCAATTATTTCTTTAAGATGACTTAAAGGAGCTTAGGCATCCCAGTTTCTGGGAAAATTTCTCTGAACCTGCCATGTCCCTGTCAGAGCACCTAGTACACACTTACTTTGATAACGTCTCACTGTATACTGCAGCCTACTGTATTTATTGGCTTACATCCATCACTCTCCCATCACCTCACCTCACCTGCACACCCTCACCTGGACCCCCTCACCTGCACACCCTCACCTGCACAACCTCACCCGCACCCCCTCACCCACACACTCTCACCTGCACATTCTCACCCGCACACCTCACCCGTACACCCTCACCTGCACATTCTCATCCACACACCCTCACCCACACACCCTCAACTGCACATTCTCACCCGGACCCCCTCACCTGCACACCCTCACCCACACACCCTCACCTTCACACCCTCACCCACACACCCTCACCTGCACATTCTCACCCACACACCCTCACCGCACACCCTGACCTGCACCCCTTTTGGGAACTGGGGCTGCACTTTCTTTATGGGCTGGTGCCCAGAGCCCACAACACTGCCCAACACACAGCAGTTACCCAACCAGCCGATAAATGCCCGCCATTCTGGCCCCGCGTCCCTCCTGCTTCTATCTTTTACAGTGACTCCCATAGGTTTTGAAAAGGGAAGCGGAGCCTAATTATTCAGCATGCAGGAAAAGCACAAAAGACTGGAGGATTATTAGACTTGGCACATGGTTACTTGTTGGCTTTCTGAGAGCGAGATAAAAAAAAAAAAAAAAAGTACTCATAGAAGAGAGGTGTCTGAATGGCCAGTCTCTGTTGTTGTTTTGTTTTGTTCCCTGCGAAGGGACAGAGGACACGAGAAATGAGCGAAGACGAAGGTGCTAAGTGGGCAAAGCTGAGTGCGGCTGAGGGTAATAGGAGGGTCGGGGGGGAGGAAACCATGGCAACAGCAGGGATGAGAGGGGAGCTGCCAATCAACACTGTGCAGCATGATCTCTCCACAGAGGAAGGGAGCCGGGAGGGGGCTCTGCCTCCACATCGGGATGCACACGAGGGGACCACAGGGTCTCTCAGTGATGCTGAGTGTCCACCATAAGGAGGAAGGTGCCCAGGCCAGCAATACAGTCCCCTGGCGTGGACAGCACTCAGCGGTGTGATGACCTAGGATGGCCACGGCTGTCGGCAGGGGCTGTGGTAACTGAGAAAGGGGGAGAGGGTACAGGCTGCTCCAGGATGATTTGGACCAAAATGAAACCATCGATGCCTTCTAAGGCCATTCCCGTCGCCTAGAAGGCCCCAGGCTCCAGCAGGCAGGTGAACTCCTCTACATTATTCCAAGGCATTCTCCTCCCTGACAGCTCAGGGCTTTCAGATCTGGGTTCTTCGCTGCATGGCCTCTGCCCCAGGCCCCAGCGTGGCCCGCTGCTTCTCCTCATTCAGCGCTTGGCTCACATTTTGTCCCTCCTGACAGTTCTCCGCTCCTCCAGTTGGATTGCCCTCTCGCCTGGCTTTCTTTGTCCTGCAGCCTGGCTTTCCTTTGTGCAAGGCCCTGGCCACTTTCTGGAATTAACTTATTACTGAACTCATTTGCTTGGTTGTCTGTCTCCTTACCTCTAGGGGGAGCACAGGACCTGAGCTCAGTGACCTTGGCTTTGTTCACCCCAGTGTCCCGGGGCCTGGCAGGTCTACCGGACACAGGGCAGGGCTGGATGAGTCACCCAAGGGCATGCCTTATAGCTTTACTAAACTTCTTTTTGTTTCTATTAAACACACTTCGCTCAAATATCAGCAGGCGACTTCTGTTCTCATCTTGTAAGATTTTGGCCAATCAGTGTATGGAGGAGCCTTCTTTCTGTCTTTCTTCCTGACATTAAAGATTTGGATTTGGATCATTTTTCAGTCTTGACATTTCCGGTACAATGAACCCTTGGGTGTTCTGGGATGGTTGGCCTCCTTGTCATTTCAAAGGCGTATTTTTGTATCTTTCCTAGTCCTCCTGGGCTTAGCCATCAGAAACTCCCATAGGATTTCCCCCCATTTTTCTTCTCAGCGGGGGGATGGTATTTTGGGGCCTCATTTGGTGTTTTGGTTCACCATCATTCCAGGAAATGGTCTTTAGAAATCTTCATAGATTTTTTTTTTTTTTTTTTTTTTTTTTTTTTAGTGAAGAGATGACTAACAGCTCAGATTATTTTGTTCTTTTCAGATTCATTTAAAAACTTACCACGATATCTGTGTTCATCGGAAGACAGTTCTTCCCTAAAAACTTTGATGTTTGGAAGCTTGGAGTATCTCTTATCATCTACAGACTTGCAAATTTTGCAGGGTACTTTCTGTTTAATCACTGTGGAGATTTTTCTTTATGAGACCAGTTTTCACACCGAATCCCTAGGATTCCTGCACAGAATGGACAGTTGACGTTGCTAGGAGGTTGCTAAACGCACTGACTGCCCATATGGGTGCATGCACTTCTTCGTATTTCTTGCCTTGAGCCCATGAGTTTATTGCCCTCATATCCGCTGCTGTTATCTTGCATTTATACCATCTGAATGCTGAGGCTTACATAGAGCCATATAAGGCTCACTTCCCCGAGACGCCGATCCAGTTAAGAAATGAGCTCTGAGGCGTTTTAGAACATCACGACTCAAGTGTATTTCTACTTTCGAAGGCATGAAGCAGAGCAAGTTGTTAATTTAAAAAAAAATCATTCTAACTTTAGCCGGTGTTGGTTTGGCAGTGTTACTATTTAAGCATCTTTTCCAAGGGATTTTACACATAGACTTGTGAGGAATAAATATTCACAGTGACTAATCTTGTTTTAATTATCGCCCAAGGAAATCATGGCGGTTGACACGACAGGCTATTTTCAGGGCTTCCTTTTTTTAACTGCGGCTGCTGCCACGTAGAAGGTGGCGAGAAGAGGGTCCGCTGTCATCATCCAGGATTCCCCCCTTTCCCCTAAGAGTGGAATCGGCTAATTATTCAAAGATGACCTATCCATGATACTCACATTTTGTCGCCATCAACTTCTCAAAGGACTCGGCCCACTGGGACACTTCCTCCGAAGTAAGGCTTTGAAAAGAAACAAGAGGTGCTCATTGCACTAAAATATTCGTGAGGGTTGATGCCATCTTGAAAGTAATACCCAAAATATAATCACACTGTGTCTGTGTGAGGTTTGGGATGGAAGTTTTACCTTCCTGTGATCTTTCCCATTTTATTTTTACTTCCTAAACGCTTAAAGTTGTAAAAAATTATCAAGGTATTATAAAGGTGAAAATGGGATCAAACACATTTTTTAAAGGATGAAGAGTTATCTATAATAATGAAAGTGTAATATGCTAATTAGACTGGATGACCTTCCAGATGAAGCCTGGGCTTCAAGGGAAGCCCGGGTCCCGGAGGCCAGAGGGAAGCTGGTGCCCACAGCCGGGGGAAGGAAGGCCTGCTTTTGCATGAATTTTGTGCATCGGGCCTCTAGTAGTCCTATAAGATCTCTGTTCCCAAACGACCACTGTCAATGTTTTGATTTATTTCTTTTTAGTCTTTTTGTTCAGTGTGTGTTTTTAACCAAGAAGTAATCATACTCTGCTTGTGTGTTGTTTGTGTATACCTTATGTGTATGTGTGTGTTTCCGCATAATATATATATATATATATATATATATAGTGTTCCAAAAATCTATACACACTTTGAATAATTATTAATTCCAATGGGTCAAATCTGAAAAGAAAGAAACACCAATTGAGCTAACAGAAAAAAGCCTGTATACATTTTTTGGGGCATCTTGTATACATACATAGATATAGATATAGATATAGAGATAGAGATAGAGATAGAGATATAGATATAGATATAGATATAGATATAGATATAGATATAGATATAGATATAGATATAGATATAGATATACATTAGAGGGAGGCCTGATTCATGAAATTTGTGCAAGAGTAGGCCTTTCTTCCTCTGGCTGCCAGCACTGGCTTCCCTCTGGCACCCGGGACCTGGAATCTGTCTGGAAGGATGTCTGAAATGATGTCTAGTCTAATTAGCATATTTCCCTTTTATTATATATATATATATATATATATATATATATATATATATGTTTGTGTGTGTGTGTGTGTGTGTGTGTGTGTGTGTTTGTGTGTGTGTGTGTGTGTATTTATAATGACCTTTTTAAATGTCTTCACAGTCATCTTAATAACAGTTTATAATGTTGTAATTTACAATCTTTTATATTCCCTATAATTTATCATGATTAAGGAGTATTCTATAAGGGGCATTTCATAGTTTACATAATTCCCAGTGAATAGTTTGATTATTTCTTATTTTCACCCCTAAAACCCAATGTGGCCCAGCTGTGCCTAAGGCTTGCCACGTCCTCACAGTTAGAGTGACTCCTTAGGATGTTAGCAGAAGTGGGATCCGGTGGGCCAAAAGAGGCACCTTTTTTAGGGTCTCGGTACAAATGGCCCAAGTGCTTGTAAAGGGTTAGGCGCTGTATGCAGCAACGTGTTTGCCTGCTCACCTAATAGAATCTTAGCGTATCACACGTACCCTACTTGATTGCATTCACATAACAAAGTTATCTCATGTATAGACATATCGTCTATTATTTGCGATTAGTTTGCCGAGGTGTTTAATTTTATTGCTGCAAATAACATGTCAACTTACATTTTTTAAACAGTATTTAAAAGAAAAACATTTGTCATTTAGGAAGTGTCTGTGAACGATGCTGCCTCGAAGGCTTTATTTCTGTTCGTCTTGGTGGGTGGGCTTTTGAGGTGACTTGGCAATGCTTCCCTATCAGTCACCTTACTTTCTCTGTTAAAATACTCAGCGTGCTCATCGCCATACAGCTTCTGACCCGTTCTTCAGGTCCCCGCTTTTAGTAGCTGCCTATCCTAAAAGACAGCTGTGGGTACCAGCTTCCACTGTCCCCGGACTAATTCTGGCCCAGTTAGCCCCGCAATTAGTATCGATGGAACAGCCAGTGGCTTTAGCAGGTACCTGACACCATGAAGGAAGATTAGCTAAAGAGGTTAGAAAATAACCCAGAACATGGAAAGCAATTGGGAGTCCTTAAAAAAAAAAAAGGTCAACTGTGTTTTGTTTTCTAAAATTTTGGGTGCCTCTGGCCGGTATTAGATGGGCTGTTTGCATCAGCACAGAGGCTTAGCAGTGTACTGCTGTGAAGATTGCTTTAAAAGCCGCATTTCCATGAAATGCGTCTGACTCATTGTTCTTTTTCTCTTATTAGAATTTGAGAGAAGCAGTTGCCTAAAACAACCCTGTGAACCCGGTGAAATAGGAAAGTGCTAGGCTGGGAGCGTTCCCTCCTCCCCATTCTGCCTGTTCCCAGCATTGGGGGGACAATAAAGTCTCCCCCAGTGGCTCACCTGCCATTACTGCCATGGCTTAGCTTAAAGTTTGGTGTTGCCGATAGTTGGACAGAAGAAGCCTTTGGCCTCTCAGATTCCCGAGATTTATGGAGATAGACTATAATTGCTGTGGATAAAATTGTGAAATGGCATCTCTTTTTGGTTTAAACCAGTGGTCGGCAAACTGCGGCTCGCGAGCCGAGGTTTGCCGCTCCGTTGACTAATGGGTTTGCCGACCACTGTCCTATGCTACCCTTTACCTCTTTGCACACAATATGCCACAACTGCCTAATCCTCACAGCTTCCAACTACACGGTAACATTTAGTCTAGCAGTGGTCGGCAAACTCATTAGTCAGCAGAGCAGCAAACCACGGCCCGACCACTGGTTTAAACTGATTTTTTGCTTGTAAGTTTTTCTTAGTATGTCACAAGTTTTACATGGTCCCGCGGCCATCTGGGTCTCCACATCAGAACTGTCCTAAACAACTTTGCCCCTTCCACCCACCCTGATTTTTTAATCCTCACCCAAGGATATTTATTTCCATTGATTTTTAGAGAGGGTGGAAAGAAGGGGGGGGGGGGGAGAGAGAGAGAGAGAGAGAGAGAGAGAGAGAGAGAGAGAGAGAGAGAGAGAGAGAGAGAGAGAGAGATCAATGTGAGAGAGACACATCAACTTGCTGCCTCTCACTGGGGCTCTGACCAGGGCCAGGAAGGCAGCCTACAACTGAGGTATGTGACCTTGACCGGAATTGAACCTGTGGCCCTTGAGTCTAGGGGTCAGTGCTCTGACCACAGAGCCAAACCAGTGAGGGCACTTACTCAGATTTTTAAAGAAAAGTCTTCTTTTGTGTCCCTCCCGCCACCTGGACAGATAGGCTGACCGTGCCTGTCACTGCAGCAGCCACACCTGGTCTTGTAACTCGCTGAGCTTGGCGTCTTCCTGCTTCCTCCACCCACACACCATAGCTTGCAAACGTTTGGGGGCATTTGGCTGCTTCAAGGCATGAGCATGTATGCCAGGAGCTGTGGCCAGAACCGAGGTCTCCCTTTGGGCTAGGCTAGGCACTCACTGTTAGCCAAATAGGGACCCTCCACCCAGGCCTTCTCTGAGCTGAGCAGATCCAATCATATGGTTTGGTACCTTTCTCAGGCCTTACACTTCCCATGTTGATACAGTCATAATCCTCTTTTCCCCCCCAACACACACCCCAATGTCAAGCAGACTTGGGAGCTTGGTAAGCATTTGGTTTCACCCCTAGTCTCACCTCTTCCACCTGGGGATGAAGATTTTCAGAACTTGCCGAAACCGGTTTGGCTCAGTGGATAGAGCGTTGGCCTGTGGACTGAAGAGTCCCGGGTTCGATTCCCGTCACGGGCATGTACCTTGGTTTTGGGCACATCCCCAGTAGGGGGTGTGCAGGAGACAGCTGATCGATGACTCATCTATGTTTTTAACTCTCTATCCCTCTCCCTTCCTCTCTGTAAAAAAAAAAAAAATCAATAAAATATATTTTTTAAAAAAGATTTTCAGAACTCTGCAGGTGGAGGATTTGAGCCAGGAACATTTTGGATCAAATAATATCATTTTCAGATATTATGAAACAAACAAAAAAAAATCTAAGAATTTACTCACAATAGACTCCCTAAAAACATCGGACTTGCCGAATTCTCAAGTTATGAACCATGAATAACGAAAACGGAACCCTGTGTAATAGATGCTCGGTCCTCTGGGGGAATCACTCATGCATGAACGCAGGTTTTGCTTTCTGAACAAATTGAGTTAAGAGAGCAGCTGAAGTCACGGACCCCCGGGGAAATGCTTTAGCATGGCCTTCCAACGCAGTGGCTTACTTACTCTGAAGGGAGCCTCTTCGATGCATCTCTGCACATCGTACACACCCAGCAGGTCCGCCTGCTCATTTTTCTGGAGAAAAACACCATCCACGGAGTATAATTTAGTCATTTAAAATAATTATAGGTTAAGAGTGCATTTCTAAAGAGCACACAGAGTAATCACGTTTGAAGTTACTGGGCTACAGTCACTGGTCGGGGGAGGATGACAGGAGAACAGAAGGACTCCTAACCATTTTAGGGGAATGCGGGCGTTTCAAGTTGTGACTTCAGGCCTCAGCTGGCCCGCCTGTCCGTCAAAGGGCTCGATCCCCAGTGTGGGGTGTGCAGGAGGCAGCCAATCAATGATGCTTCTAGCTCTCCTTTTCCCTTCTCTAAAATCAATAATCATCATCATCATCATCATCATCATCATCTAACCTAATAATAGAGGAATATGCAAATTAACCATCACGCCGCTACACAAACCATGCCCACCAGCCAATTAGGGTGAGTATGCAAATTAACCCCACCAAAATGGTGGTTAATTTGCATATCAAGACAGCATAGAAAGAAGCCAAGTCTGCAGAAGAAGGGAGGAAAACAAGCAGGGCAGCAGAGAAGGGAGGAAAGCAGAGGGGGCCAGGGGAGAAGAGGGGAAAGCAGATGGGACAGTGACCGAAGCAGAAAGCCCTATGGCAGGAATCTTCCTGCAACAGGCCACTAGTTATCTATATAAAAGATTCCTCATGTCTGTGATCACCTCCAAGAGGCCGATTTTCCCAACACCTCGCTGCTTGTCTTCTAAGCAGGAGGGTTGCCAAGAGCTTCCTCTTCCAAAGCCTTTCCTGTCAGTAGAACCATCATCCCTGTCCTCTACTGGGCCTTTGTGACCATCGGTCTTATGCCTCCTTGTCTCCATACCAACCTGCTGCTGCTGCTGTGTGTACATCAGTGATCTCTGAACCTGGAATCCATGTCTGTTTACAAGTTACCATGGTATCTTTTATGGCTCTAACGGAATTGTTTAGCAAAGGCAGGAGAGTCTTAGTATTCGACGCCCACTTGGGTCAGAAGCACAGCAAAGGTCAAGCCATTTCAACCTGGCCGGTTCGGCTCAGTGGATAGAGCCCCGGCCTGTGGACTGAAGGGCTGTGTGTTCATTTCCAGCCAAGGGCACATACCTCCGTGGCGGGCTCATTCCTAGCCCCAGTCGGGTATATGGGGGAGATAGCCAATTGATGTGTCTCACTTACATTGATGTTCTCCCTCCCCCTCCCTCTCTCATTCCTACTTTCCCTTCTCCTTCCCCACTTCTTCCCCTCCCCTTCCTTCTCCCTCCCCCCCACCAAAAAAAAAAATCAATGGAAAAATATCCTCAGGTGAGGATTAGCAATAACAGAGTAATTTCCAAATGCACCAGAATTTAGGGTCCCCACAGCTCCCGAGAAGTGACAGTATATTAAGATAACTCTGGGCCCTGGCGCCAAGCAGACAGATGCCTGAGTTCAGGCGCTTAGCTGTGCAACCGTGGGCATAGCAATACACACTTCCCCATTTTCCCTTTCCCTTTCCCTAAAGTGGAACTGTAAAGATTAGAAAAGCACATGCAGTAACTGTCTGTTCCCGCTAATCTGATGTTCAGTCAGCTTCCGGCACTCCCTGTCACTCAGGAAATCGTTCCTAAGCTTTTTGTGTGCACGTGTGTCTGTGCGTGTGTGTGTGTGTATGTGTGTGTGTGTGAGTGCATGCACAGGAAACACACATTGTCAGACTGCATTTCTTCCTCTTTTTAAATTTCTGCTGAGACCCCGATGGAGCTTACTCCTCCTTCCGTGTGTCAGCCTCCTCCCCGCCCTGCTCATTGGCCCTTTCCTCCATCACCCTGGTCCTACATTCCTGTTGTCCACGGACTATGTTAGTGGCGGGAGTTCGAGCTTTAGGGATTTAGGCACATTGAGGTGCGTGAGTCCTCCTGAAGGGAGGAACTACCAGAAGGGCTTGCATGGTCAGAAGGACCTGGGCCAAGGGGTGAGAGGCCAGCCCGGCCAGAGCGTCCCCTTGCGAGCAATCACGTGAGGTGTCCCCTCTATAATGATGTCCTTTAGGGTTAGGATTTGATTAACATATTCCATTGATAAACTCACATTTGTTTGGTTTATCAAATCCACTTAAAACCATCTTCAGTTGAATTATACCCTTGGAATTCAAGCATACATGGTCATTTATTAGTAAAAGTATCAATTAGCCTCAAATACTCCATTGGACTAAGGGTTCTATTTTTGGCACAAAGAGAGAGTTCCTTGTGAAAGGAAGGTTGAGCTGATAGGATATAGAACTGGTTTAAAACGGATGAACTCACCGAGCTTTGAGTCAACAATAATCATTTTTCTCTCACGGTGGTGGTATGATTTGTGGGAAACTTGCATGGACCTAAAAATAAGATAGTGACAAAACCAAACAAAAGCAGAAAAGGTTATTGTGTGCTTCCTGGAGAAGGCATTTTTGACGAAGATTTCTATAAATACCCCCGCCTTACATTTTTAGTAAAAAGTCAATAGTTTATTCACTTTGTTAAGTACTGGATGTTTATCCCTATTGGTGATTTGTTAACTCCTTATCTAGAAATTTATTTTATGGGTAGTTATTATAAAAATTCCTATACTTTCAGTATCTATGTTCCATTTCTTAAAATATTTTTTGTTTATTGAAGGTTAACATCATACGTTAATTTGCCTATATTTTTATTTTTTAACATTCTCTTGGTAAAACTAGTGTGCATTTTTAGAATGTAAGTGTGTTTAGAACCTGTTTAGGTCTCCATAATGATTTTTTTTTCTCGGTGTTTCCTCCTGATTATTTTAAAGAAAGTATACATGTCATCTATAGAATTTAATTATTAGAGTGGGATAAATGCATAAATGATGAATTGAGTTGGATATGTATCATGCCAGGAACAGATTCAAGTTTCCCCCCTGGTATTTAAATGGAATCTTTCTCAAAGCAATATGAAAATATAAGTGAATTTTCTTACATTGAGCCTTTCCACACATTGAATTTTTTCCTCATACTAATAGGCAATCGATTAATCCTTTCTGCAGTATCTGTATTTATATTATGATGTAGCGTGCCACATAAAATTTAGAAAAACCTAGAGCAATTTACATTTTTTTAATGCTTAAAGAGTTTTTTAATTAAAAACATTTTAAAATTGATTTGAGAAAGAGAAAAAACATACATCAATTTGTTGTTCCACTTATATATGCATTCATTGGTTGATTCTTTTCCCCCCATTTTTTTAATTAAGGTATTATACATGTACATATCTTACCATTGCTCCCCCATCCATTCCTCACCCCCCAGTATTTTGCGTCCATTGGTTTTGCTTACTATGTGCATGCATATAAGTCCATCGATTGAACTCTTATCTCCCCCAGCAATTTACATTTACAATATGTTGGGTTTTGTTTGCCAAGGCACACAAAATTCTTGCCTTTAAAAAGCAAGTAATTTGGGTGTAGTTGTGCTTAGGCACAACACTAAGGAATGAAGAAATTCTGTAAAATCGAGATCAACAATGCTTCCTATAAGCCTTTCTACCTGCGATCCATACCGCTGATTAAATGATGGAACTATTATAATTTGGTAAAGGTATGATTTTCAAAACAAGTCTGAAATATCTGACTGGATGACTTTATCGAATCCTACACACAGACACACACACACACACACACACACACACACACACAACACCCCCATAAAATGAAAGACCACACCTACCCTCCTCTAGAACTGGAACATTCCTTTACTGCCCGATTTAGAAGCTTCATTTGCACATGTGTGACCGTAAGTTTTGTTTTAAAATTATTATTTGTTTTGTTTTAGCTATAGAAAGCCTAGGCCAGGACAACATACGTGTTCACTAGTCTGTTTTCCTTGGACGAAGCCTGCTGACATTTCTCACAGCCCTGCCGTGGAAGTAAAAAAAAAATCCACTCGCCATCGCTACCAAACTAATAGCGTTGTATCCGTCAACTACGTGAGAGAACCTCATACTTACAAGGATGCCCTGCAGAGCAGTCCGCCATGCTAACGCCTATTTCCTCGTTGCAGGATCCTTTTGAGGTCGGGCTCTGCAATGCCACGACACAGCCGGCATTTTAGCTTTCCCAGCATGCAAGAGCTCTGCTGCCTCTGCTCCCTTTGGGGGCCCTCTGGGCTTTGCAGGACCGTCCCCCCCGCTTATAGACGCCTCTATGCAAAGAGGGGCTGGGCTGCATATGGAAAGCAGTCCGGGGGCCCCCCAGTGCGTGGCTGATAGAGAGGCCTTATCTCACAGCATCAGCCCATCTGACTGGTCACGTGACTGGAAATCTTCAGTGCACTAGTCAAACCTTTCCTCCAAAACAGTTCATTTTCTTTCTTTCTTTTTTTTTTTTTTTTTCCATTGTGGAAAATGTATAGCTTACAGGAAAACCTCCCTTTTAAAGCACCCAGGGAACTGACTGCCCATCAGTAGGCTGCTACCAGTGCACATTTGCTGTCAAATGATTAAGAAGTGTCCAACGCAGCCTGCCTGTGTACTACAGATTACTAAGGACCCCGAGCAGTGGAAAGATCTACTAAGTAAGGAGGCCTCTGTCCTAGTCCAGCCTTTCTCGTTGCCTCGGCAGGTCCTCCAGGGGCCGTCCCTGAGCTCTCTGTTATTCTCCAATTTCTTAATGTTATCTGTTAAAAGCCTGCACTGAACACAGTGTTCCAGACCGGGACTAATGAATGCAAAGTATGATGAGATTGTTAGTGTTCTTGTCCTATATCTGATCCAGCCGTGCCTCTGTGTGTGTGTGTGTGTGTGTGTGTGTGTGTGGTGAAATGCTAGAATAAATCAGTGGGAAAGAAGATGAGAGTGTAATTGATGGAGTGTTTTGTTTTTTTTTAAATATTTTATTTATTTTTTACAGAGAGGAAGGGCGAGGGATAGAGAGTCAGAAACATCGATGAGGGAGAAACGTAGATCAGCTGCCTTCTGCACACCCCCTACTGGGGATGTGCCCGCAACCAAGGTACATGCCCTTGACCGGAATCGAACCTGGGACCTTTCAGTCCGCAGGTCGACGCTCTACCACTGAGCCAAACCGGTTTCGGCTCATAATGGATGTTTATATTTCTCGCCCCTTCTCTCTGTAATCAATAAAAACATACTTTAAGGAAAGTTAAAGAGAAGAATGCCCGTTTCTGAGCTCGATTAGCAGAATAAAACATGGAGTCTTTCTCTGGAGTGAACACTGGGGACCCACGTGGGCTGAGAAACAAGAAAGCCACAGCGGAGGGCAGAGTAAGGGAAGGGTAGGCACGGGGTTCCGGGGAAGTCCCAGAATCAGGTGCAGATGGTGGGGCCGGTATCTGAGTGTTTCAGTGTCTCTGGACAAGGGCAGGCTGAGTGCAGTTCATGGGGTGAGAGCAATGTAATCCTCAGCGCACAGAGGGTTGCACTGCCTCGCAGATACTGGCCTGGGCAGGTCACAGGGTCATCGGGCGCCCATGTTGCCTGCTCAGAGGGCCTTCCTGAGTTTGGGCCCTTCCTGGGATCTGCTTACTCCTGAGTACTTTCTTTTATCTTTTTCAAAATATATTTTTATTGATTCCAGAGAGGAAGGGCAAGGAAAATGGAGATAGAAACATCCATGATGAGAGAGAATCATGGATCGGCTGCCTCCTGCAGGCCCCACACTGGGGATGGAGCCCGCAACCGGGCATGTGCCCTGACCGGGAATCGAACCGTGACCTCCTGGTTCATAGGTCAATGCTCAACCACTGAGCCACACTGGCCGGGTCTCCTGAGTACTTTCAGTCCGCTCATTCCTCAGCCACACTAAGTCCACAGGATCGCACGTTGCACTGTGCAAAATGAAAGGGTGCCTAACTCTATGTTTCTGAAATTCAAAATGAGCATCTTCACATGAGTGGAATAATGAGCCTGACTCTGCACCCGTAGTCTCTCCCCCAGGTCCCTGCCGCCTGCGTCGCCTTCTCCACAGGGCAATCTCTGGGAGTCTTCACAGCCCCCATGCCCACACCTCAGGCTGAGGCTAGGGGTCTTGTCCTCTCTGGCTCGCTGCCCCCTACAAACAGGCTGACCTTGGCCTCTGCCTTGGGTGAGACAGACTCAGTGACAACATTCACGAGGACACACCTGACACCGGTGCCAGCACCGAGTGCACTTAAATAGCAATTAAAATCAGATACCGGTGTGGTCTGTGCTTATTCAAATGGCTTACTACTCTCAAGATGCCTTATTGCAAACTACAGCTCTGCCCGTGCATCCATTCCCGTCGCTGACGGCCCGTCATGACGGCTTCTCCTCGGTGGCTGCTCTCAGTCCATCCTCTGGGCCTTTCAGGGACATCGGCGTGCTCTCAGGTGCCTGACCTCCAGTGTGTAACAGAAAAGGGGGAGCGGTCCTCCTTGCTTTCCATTTTCTCCCGAGCTATTTACTGGCCTTATCCAGTCTGTCCCTCCCAAGGAGATTCCAGGTCAGCCAGCCTTTCACTTCCCCCCGCAGGGTATCCAAGGCCGCGTTAACAGCTCTGAAAGCAATGTTCTCTTCCTGGAAAAAAGGAAACAGCTCGAGGTTGCTTAATTTGGAGCCGTGTCTATTAGCTTTCTGCACACGCGCGCGGTGTGTGTCTGCGTGACCCTGTGCGAGCGGGGCTGCAGGTACCTGCTCTCTTTGATGGAGGCCGCCCAGGCATGTCCAGCCCGGGGTTGCTTTGTTATTTTCTCAGCCCGGCAGGTTCCTGGACCACACAGGTAGAGTGCGTGTGAATTATAACCCTCGGAGGGCATGCACCTGGCATGGTGCTGCATCAAACACGCTTGCCATCCGTTTTTTTTGCAGGGAGCTAGTTTTACCCATTCATTATGTCACTGAAGACGGAGCACATGGAGGGCCCTTGGCTCAGCTTCCTGCCTGCTCAGCCTGAGATCTCGTTTGCTGGCTCTCCACGGGCTCCCGAGAGCCAGGCCTCTCTGCATGGCGGGGGTTAGCGAACGCTGAGCTCAGCTGTACGTTCCATGCTAGTTCACCACTCAGATGTGGTCTTCCCTCCTTTTGTTCCTTGGCGACTTTCCTTACTCTTTGCAAAGTTAACTATGCAATGAAATGGGGTGGGTAGGTGGAAGGCATATGTCCTATTTTTTTCCCTAGTAATTTGAGGTGTCTGACAGTGAGGTCTTTCAAGACACGCCTTGCCTACCACAATCCATAGTTTCTTTCACATGAGATAATGTGACATATTCATATGTGCATTTTTTAAAATAAAACCAAATGCATTGAAACAGCAAGACACTGGAACTTCATAACCCCCTTGCTGTCACAGATGGGAAGCACCACTGTCTGCTTCTTGGAGGGAGGAATGCCTCCAGCAGGGCCCACCGGTGTGTGGTTGCAGAGCTGAGGCCAGCCTGGTTTCTTAACCCCCTAAACTAGGGGTGTTGAACTCAATCAGAGAAGGGGCCAAAATCTAAAATCCAGCCTAAATCACGGGCCGAATGGTTTACTGAACAGTCATAAACTGTCATTGTGATGGAAACGCAGCGGAGTGCAGTGATGACAGCGCGGTGCGGGCCACATTGCAAGGCCTGGAGGGACAGATTTGGCCCGCGGGCCTTGTGTTTGACACATGTGCCCTAAACAGTTCACTGCCCTGTTCTTTATGCGAGCCCACCACCTCCTGCAGGCTTTGTGACCTTCCTGCTGTAGAAGAGGGTGAACAGACACCTGTGCCGTATTTCCTGCCTCATTATTATTATTATTACCATCACAGGGATGCACATGTCTTCTGCAGATCACTATTTAAAAACATGATGACAGCCCAGCTGGCCGGCATGGCTCAGTGCTGGAGCGTCAGCCTATGAACCAGGAGGTCACGGTTTGATTCCTGGTCAGGGCACATGCCCGGATTGCGGGCTAGATCCCCAGTGTGGGGTATGTGTGTGCAGAAAACAGCGGTTCGATGATTCTCTCTCATCATTGATGTTTCTCTCTCTCTCCCTTTTTCCCTGGTGTCAATCAAAATGTATTTAAAAAATAAAAACACGCCGAAACCGGTTTGGCTCAATGGGTAGAGCGTCGGCTTGGGGACTGCAAGGTCCCGGGTTCGATTCCGGTCAAGGGCATGTACCTTGGTTGTGGGCACATCCCCAGTAGGGGGTGCACAAGAGGCAGCTGACCGATGACTCTCTCTCATCGATGTTTCTAACTCTCTATCTCTCTCCTTTCCTCTCTGTACAAAATCAATAAAATATATTAAAAAATAAAAACATGTTGATAGTCTTGGAACAAGTGTGCGCCCCTCAGGGCAGTGGTGAACGGTGATGCACGGCCCCATCCCACCTGTCCATGGAGGTCTGTGTCCCACCCGGGGACTTAGGGAAGCAGGTGACCAGGCAGTCACTCAGAGGCCAGGGCCAGTTAAGAAGAAACAAGTCCTTTCGTCCGCCGACGGGTGGTACACAAGAGGGCAGAGAACTCACACGTTTCACCTACCTAAGGGAACATAGCATGGAGATGGGCATAGTAGACGCTCAATTAATACTGGAAGCAACAAATACGTACATTCCCTTTCTAATAAGAGGCATCCCAAACAAAAACTACCCTGATATTCTTTTTTAAAAATATATATATTTTATTGATTTTTTTACAGAGAGGAAGAGAGAGGGATAGAGAGTTAGAAACATCGATGAGAGAGAATCCTCGATCAGCTGCCTCTTGCACACCCCCCACCGGGGATGTGCCTGCAACCAATGTACATGCCCTTGACCGGAATCGAACCCGGGACCTTTCAGTCCACAGACCGACGCTCTATCCGCTGAGCCAAACTGGTTTCTGCTGTCCTGATATTTTTTTTAAAACTAATTTTCATGAATACAAAAATGATGGAGTGGCGTTTGGGAAGATGGATTATATTGTGTGTTTCCTGACATCATCGACCTTCCTCCAAGGTAGTCTGGTGTCTCTGCTGTAACCTTCTTTACAACCTAAAATTAGCGAGTCCTTAACGAGAGGCTACGTTTTGTAAGTATAATGTACTCAAATAAGTATTTTTATGACGCA